CCGCCCCGGCGCTGGCACCCTGGGCAGCCCCCCCAGCCCCGCCGCGGTCCCCCGTCCCGGCCGCCCCGCCTGTCTGACTTGACTGCCTGTGTCGTGCCCAGTCTCCCCAGAGCTGAAGGACCGCAAGGAGGATGCGAAAGCAATGGAAGACGAAGGGCAGACGAAAATCAAGCAGAGGAGGAGCCGGACGAATTTCACCCTGGAGCAGCTCAACGAGCTGGAAAGGCTTTTCGACGAGACCCACTACCCGGACACTGCCTGTGTCGTGCCCAGTCTCCCCAGAGCTGAAGGACCGCAAGGAGGATGCGAAAGCAATGGAAGACGAAGGGCAGACGAAAATCAAGCAGAGGAGGAGCCGGACGAATTTCACCCTGGAGCAGCTCAACGAGCTGGAAAGGCTTTTCGACGAGACCCACTACCCGGACGCCTTCATGCGGGAGGAGCTGAGCCAGAGGCTGGGGCTGGCGGAGGCCAGGGTGCAGGTAGCCAAGCCGTGCCCGGCTGCGAGGATGCGTGGGTGCCTGCGTGCGTGGGTGTGTGTGCACGGTGGAAGGGGCCAGCTCGGTAAAACCCGGCCGTGCCCTGTCCCCCGCGGGGCTCCCGCGCCCCGGCCGAGAGAGACGAGCGGGGCTCCCCGCGCCGAATTGGTCCCAGCAAATCTGTAAAATCACCTCCCCGGGCTTTCTTGTGGTTTGGCCTCCCTGCAAGTCCCCTGCCCCTCGCTCTGTGGCGTTTTATTTAATCTCTGCGTTTGTTTCACCTCTGCCTCGGCAAGAGCTACAACGGCTATTTTGTTGGCGTGGGCTGCGGTCCCTCTCCGGGCTGCTCCTGGCGCAGGGCTTACCGGGCGGACGTACCAATTAACTTTATAGATGTAGTGACCATAAACTAAATTAGGAACGGCTAAGTGCAAAAAAAATTTACAGTCCGTTTCTCGTCGTAGTTCTTAAATCTTGAGGGAAGCGGCACGAGAACTGAGCGAAGTGCACAGACCGGCTTTGTTCGGATTTATGAAATACAAAAGTCTGGAATAAAACCAGGCTATTTTAAGCGTTCTCCCGTACCGAGAAGCCACAGCTTCCTTTGATTTAACCTGCGCGTTTAACCTCGGGCTGCCCTCCCAAAGTTTTTCAAAATCGGTTCCTGGGCTGGTTTCTGCGAGTTTTGTCGGGATGAGACGAAGAGCGAGGAAGGGTCCGGGCTTTGCCCGGCTGGGGAGGAAAGTTAACTCCTCAAACGAGAACAAATGTAGCTGCTCCGGTGTATTTCCGTTCCAATAATAAAAGAAGAGAAAATGATGGTCATTATTTGTTTGAACACATGGAGTAGTTTTAGGCCCCTAACATCTGCAGCTGTTAGAAAGTATTGCTGTAACAGATACTCCCCCTCAATCTTTGTGCTCGTAGGCCACCATCTGCACCGAGCTATGCGCACAATCCTTGTGGGGTTTCCCTGCATCTTGTCATAGGGTAAGGACAGAAACAGAGCGGTCACGTCGAACCGAAAAAGTAATAATAAGCAGCTTTTGTCATCACAGCCTGACGCACATGAAAAAAGAGCCTTCATTTTCCCGCTCGCCCGTTCTTCCGCCGAGGCGGCCGCCTATTTACGCCCAGCAAATCTTAACAAAACCAAAGAAAACAAAGTTGCTGGGCTTCAACTCGGCTATGAAAAATGTCAAAGGGAGGTGCTTCCTTCTGCTGGCTGTTTGCTCCACAAAGAACGCGGCGGCGTATGATCCGCGCTCCCATTATGCCAAATCGCAGGGCGCATAATAACTTTCGGAGATTTACATAGATTAAACCCATTCCCTTTAAATCGTTCCGGAAAACGCTTTGCAATAATATTTTGCCTCGCATCTGCACTAATTTGTAAATTATGGAATGTGCGTTGCCGCGGGAGGCTGAGGGAGAACATGGCTGTTGGGCAGATTTTGCTTGGCTGAAGTAAATGACAGGGCGGGGGAAATTCACATTTATATTTGTCTCTTCAAGTAAGACCTCAAAAAAGAATTTATTTTTTTTTTTTGGCCGTGGGGGGAAGGATTGCTTGGTGGATGTGGCTTCTGAGATGCGGTGCAGAGGTCTGTCTTTAAACAGGAATGTTTTAAGACGCGCTCTCCCTCCTTCCCTCTCTCCCTCCCCTCTCTTCTCTAAGCGAGCAGAACTTTATTCGGGAAGTTTATTTCAACAATTCCATTTCCAATATTAAAAGTATGTTCTTGTCTAACGCGCAGCCTTTTCTGTGGAAGCAAATTAGATTATCATGATAATGAGACAATTATTCCGCTTCTGTGCTACACTCCACTGCACAGAGGAACAGAGAAATTCTAAACTTCTTTGTAGCGAAGCTTTTATGACAGTAATTACCCCCTCCCCCCTCCCCCCCCCAAAAAAAAAGTGAGTCATTAAACTCTTTGGTGTTTAGTTTTTCTTGAAGATGAAGCTAATTAATTTATTTATTAATGAGCACGATCTTCTTAGGCCTGACGGTGCAAACATCCAAACCCATTATCCCCAGTTAGTATTAGATATCAGGGGGAGATTCAGGTCTTTTGGGACCCCGATGTGGAAAGACGAAACCGGGGCTCAGAAAGTAATTTCTCTGAAACGAGCACTCCGCGAATGTCGATTTTCTGTATATTTTGACTCTCTTCCCTTGCCTTTTGCGTTTCGGAGCTCATGAGCGGGGGCTGCCCGGGAGGAGGGAGCCCAGCCCGCGCCGCAGCCGGCTTTCTTTGTCTGCCGGGTTTTTTATTCTCGGTGGGTTTATTTTTTCGCACTTCGCGTCTTCCCCGCGGCGGTGGCAGCGCGGCCGTGGCGGCCGTGGCCCCCCCCCCTCT